GGGTCGACTAATCCCAAGAAAGCCGAGGGGAACGACCACATCCGCAGGGACGAAGATAGGAGCCAGTGGAAGGCCATGCGGGTCGTGACCCTCCACATATCATGTGCGAGCAAATCTTGGTCCAACACCAGAGCATCGTCGACTGCGAGGCCGCTATAGGCTCTGTTTCCAGCGAAACCCTCCTCAGGCTGGGTCGTCGGCTCAAATACAGCTAATAGTTTCGACCATAAACGACTGATTAAATAAAGACTTATGCTGATTATTAGTATTTCTGCATGGAGAGCCAAAGTAGAAAGAAACATGCTGAAGTCTACAGATCCGGTTTCGACTAGCAAGCCTGCGGAAGCTAGCTTGGTTGGGCAACTCAAGGGCTCCAGAAGTCCACTGATGTATGGCAGCAAGCCACGTCCGCACGCTAAGCCAATGTTGTATTCCTCGCAGGCAGCACGGTCGCGCAGTTTTGCGCGAACCTCACCATACCAGTCTCTGGCAGAGGTACAGGCGACTGCGATGAAAATTGCCGACTTCATGAGCGACTCGTCTGACAGGATAGCCTGAGCGAGGAATACAACATTGGCTTGGCATGCGGTAGTGGATTTCTTCGGGATCGGAATAGAATGTACTGCTTTTCGTACTTGCCGCTGCTAGTACTACCACTACCAGTGCTACTACTACTACTACTACTACTACTACTACTAGTAGTACTACTACTACTTCTACTTCTTCTACTTCTACTTCTACTTCTACTTCTACTGCCACTACTACTACTACTACTACCACTACTACTACTACTACTACCACTACTACTACTAATAATAATAATAATACGATTACTACCACTACCACTACTACTACTACTACTACTACTACTACTACTCCTACTCCTACTGCTCCTGCTACTGCTACTGCTATTGCTACTGCTACTGCTTCTACTTTATTTCTACTTCTACTTCTACTTTTACGTCTTCTACTTCTACTTCTACTTGTGCTTCTACTTCTACTTCTACTCCTACTTCTACTTCTACTTCTACTTCTACTTCTACTTCTTCTACTACTACTACTACTACTGCTACTACTCCTGCTAGCTAGCTAGCTAGCTAACTAGCCATAGCTACTGCCTCCACTGCTACTGCTACTGCCACCGCCACTGCTGCTGCTGCTGCTGCTGCTGCTGCTACTGCTCTTGCTACTGCCACTGCTGTTGCTTTGCTAGTGCTATTGCTGCTACGACTACTAAGTACCATCACAACTGCGACGACGACGACTACCACTACACGTTCTCCGGCTGCTGCTGCTGCTGCAGCTGCTGCAGGTAATTACAACCTCGAAGCACATGCGGCGGTGGCAGTCGTGGTGATAGTGCCAGTGAAGAACATGTTGTAAGTGATGGTGATGGTGACTCTCATTGCTATGATGACGATGGCAGCGGGAGTGGTGTGATTGAACAGACATCAGCTTCAGAAACGTAGCTCGTCCTATAAGACAGAGTGATCCTTATTGGTGGTCCCTTGTTTTGCGTCGAACTCGTTGAGAATCCAGCTGCTCTCAGACTGCAGTGTACGCAGAGTCGGCCCCACAACTACGAGGCTTACGCCTAGACTCGACCTTGAAGCCCCACCATGCCGCTGAATGACGGGATGGTGAATTGAGAGGGGAGCCCTCAAAAAGAATCCTGTTGGTCTTCTGAGTTCAGAAAATATCATGCAAAGTGACAGTCATCCCGGATATCCCGGATTCGATGGGAAGGTTCCGGCCTCTACGACTTCCACAGCGAGCAAGTGAGGCTTTCGTAGAGTTTTGGGCCGTGGGGGAGAAGCTGTAGAACCCCAAACCCGGAACTTCAAGAAATTCTACACCTTTTCAAGATCCTCTTTAGGTCGCAACCTGTCATGCCACAATTACCATTTTAAAGCCGACCTGCAGCCAGCACGACATATACACCCGTGAACTGTACACAAGCACGAATTAGAGGCCTCCCGAACCGATGGCTCCTAGTTTGGTGACACCTCGGCTTATGACTGCCCTGCACCGTAAACCCTAAATCCAACTTTGAAAGAAGGCTGACTTGCTGATTCGGGGCCGAGGGGTCTCACGGCTTTGGGGTAGTCAGCATCCCCATGCCTGGTACCGTTGCCCAAAAACCCCAAAGCTTTGGAGGTTAAGGGCGTTGTTTAGGGTGGTATCGAGCAGTTGGACCGTGTTGAATTTCGGTTTTGAACCCGGACCAAGAGCGCCCCAAACACCCTAGGCCCAAAGCCAAGACGGATCAGTTTTCCGAGCCTGGGACACAGCAGGCGCATTTTCCCACACCCGCAGCTCAGCAGATGCCGGAAGAGCAAAGTAGAGCCGGCGGCTAGTACTTGTCAATAGGCTTTGTTTGCAATTAAACCATGGTTGTTGCTGTAATAAGGGTTACTCTAAGAATAAGGGTTGCTATAGGGGTTGCAGTTGTCATCATGCAGAAGCCCCCGATTGACCTAAACCTGCAACCCGATCGCCTCCACGTCAGACCCCAAAGCGAACAGTGTGACATTTCGTCATGGACTAGTGCTCAGGATGGATTTATTCTGTCCAGGGCATCTGGTTTGGGGTGCAGGTGACGGTTTGAATCTCCCGGTTTGGCCCCGAGCTGCGGGTATCTCAAGGACGCAGGTGCGAGTGCAGGAAGGCAGGTTTGTCGCTGCAAGTTGCCCGTGACGTGACCCTGAAGCCCCACCTTGAGCCGTAAAAACCCGGAAAGGTTCCCCACAAGCATCCCAACCCCTGGGTCGACGGAGCTCAGGAATGCTCTGATGTCCAGTAAACCGAAACTCAAAACCTTTACTTTGGAGCTACTCACGCTCCCTGAAGACTCCGGCAAGCCTGAACTGTAAGCAGTCGAAGCGATAATGCGGCTGTAGGCTCTAGGGCGCCGGGCCCGAAACAAGCCCTAAATGAAGCCCAAAAGCCCCAAAAGCCTAAACCTCGAGACATCGCTGGCGACCTCCTTCTGAGAAGCCACCAACACTCGCAGGAGTATCATTTGCCATAAACACACGAGCAGGGTCCAGGGTGTAGGGCCGGGGAGAGCGGGGTGGGGGGGGTGGGGGGTTGGGGTTAGTGGTTTAGGGTGGGGTCGAGCGTTCAGGGTTTGGGGTTTGGGGTTTGGGGTACTGTGCTTATACTTTACCTGTGGCTGGAGGTACCGTCAACTTATTGGGGCTATGCCCACTGAATGCTCACTGAAATTTATTCTGCAGGTTTTGGGGCGACCTTTGCCAAACCTCAGCGCTCGGGTGCCAAACCCGCCAACTCGAATCCCTAATGCAAACCCTAAACTCTCAATCCCGGGTGAGGTTTTAGGGTCTGGGGTTTTGGGGCTTCAGGGCAACAAGCACTAGCGCAGGTACTGTGGCAGCCAGAACCCTGCGAACCCTTACAGCCTGTACCCTGCTCCCATACCTAAAGTCCATACCCCTAGCAGCTAGAAGCAAGCCAAACACCTGCCGAGTTGGTAGCCCTGAGTTTTTCCAAAGCATTACAAGCTGTGTTGCTATCCCTTTGCCAAGGTTCAAATTGACACTCCGGACCTACGCCACCTCGGCTGCAACAGCAGGGTTCAAGCTTCCTTTCAAGCCAGCATGGTTTGCCCCTTCCTTGAGCCTATAAGCCTTGAACCTGTCAACCCGTCAAGGCATCAAAACCAAAGCCCCTAGCAGAACCCCCTAAACCCTTAAACCTGTCAAGGCAGCTTCGAAGCTCGTGGTGTATGCAAACTGAAGCCCGATATGCTGTACTGCAAACATGTGCTCGAAGTCTCCAAACCCTAATTTGTTAGGATCTCACTCAAACCCTAGATCACTCCTAGGGTCTTTTCGGCCTTCAACCAGAACTGAAGTAACTCCTCAAACGACTAATCTCTGAACCCCAGACTTTGAGTCCTTGAGAGCCATGGGCGGCACGCCGACTCGGCAATGAAAGCCACAACCCCGGAGATTCGCCCGTGCGTGAGGGATGGCTGTTTCCTTTTTGACCCGCTGCACCCCGAATCCGGGACACAACAGTAAATCCCGATCCTACACCCGAAGGGCAACGTTAGACAAAAAGCCCAAGTCTTTGTGTTTCGTCGTTTGCGGTCTAGTTTCCCAGCGACCTGTCTTGACAAGCCCCTTTCTTTCACGGCTTTAAAATGTGGGCGCTATGATGATGCCTGCCAAGGGACGATGGTCTACCGATGCTCATGGGCACCAGGGGTTTTGGTGAAGGAGCATCGAGCCCCAAACCAGATAGACGAGTGTGTAGGAGTGCAAGGTAGGGCCTGGTTCGGAATTTTTAGATTGAGGGTTAAGAATCTAAGGATTAAGGGTTATGGGCTTTCAGGGATGTAGGGTTTAGGGATGTATGTCGAGTTCCAGGTTTAGTAGAGAAGTATATAATAAATAAAAAAATAGATAAACAAACGAATAAATAAGTAATATATTTTTGTAGAGAGAGAGACAGAGTAACTAGGAAAGCAAGATCGTGCATGCAAAGGACACCACAGCACGAAGCTGCCATCAGGCAACTTACGTAACAGCCCCTTTGCCACATGGCTTTCGAAGATTCAAGAAGTCGGGGCCCTTTCAGCTATAGGGTTCAAAGTAGGCCTCAGACATCCTCATAGACTCCTAAACTGGGCGTGGAGGCATGGGGCTCCCATGTTTCAGAGCCATGGACCACCAATGGATGCTCCCGCGGCTTCATAGCGAGAAAGGAATAGCAGTAGTAAACAGGTGTTGGGATTAGGATATTGCGACTAGAGGCACCGTGAGCCACAGCCACGGGTGGTCTTGTAGAGTGGGAGCATGGTCTGGTGCTGCAAAAGGCGGCGAGCTCAAAAAATATGTAATCTCATCACAGATTGAGCGTTGACCCCTTTTCCTTACGGGCCTTAATGTTGGGATCCCCATTATCCTTGTTAAGGGAAGGTGGTGTGTAAATCTGGGCTATATGGCTTAATTTCATTAGCTTTGGTTGCTGCCATGGCGGACAGCGGCTCGGTGCCAGCTACGTCAGCCACAGCGGCTACTGGGCGGCACAATCAACCCTAAGCTCAAGGCCCATGCTCAAACCGGAAGCCTTAAATCCCTTCACCCTTGAGCCCCAAGCCCTAAGCCGTGTATGCCCCAAAGCTTGAACCTTGCAAGTCCTTCGGAGCCGCGTTTGATGGCAGCCGCGGCTCAAAATCCACGGAAGTGTCCCTGCAGCACCCATACATCAAATTGCGTCCGCTTGTCTGTCTGTCTGGCTGGCTGTCCGCATGCATGGATACACGGATACACAACCATTTCGCGCTAGCAACGTAGTTGTCTTGTTGAAGTCCATGAGTTCCTACATAAAGTATATAGTAACAGTATCTGTTTGTCAACTCATGTATCTATCAATTCATCTGTTTGTCTGTCTATCTATCTGTCTGTCTATCTATCTGTCTATCTATCTATCTATCTATCTATCTATCTAGTTACATATATGTTGCGTCGCTTGTTTGTCTGCGTGCATTGATCAGAATGTCCGCCTTGCTTCATGTGTCAACCAAAATTGAGTTCAACATGCATGCATACTACGTATTTAGACGACAACCTGTTGATTGATTTCATGTGGGCCTTCGAGCGAGTCTACAAACCAAAGGCACATGTATAGGTGTCTTTTGATGCGTGACAGCTTGTGATTGTTTTGGGGCTCGTGGGGGGGCGGCGGGTTAAGCCTCAGACCCTCTACCCATCCAAGGCTAAACGATGCACCAACCATCGACAATTCTGGTTCGGCTTTCGGGTCAAGAAATCTTAGGGTTGAGGATCCTGCATCAATTTCACGACTCACGCTGGAAGGGGCTCCCCTTACCGCCAGCTGAATTTAAGATAAAGTCTCTCAGTTCTAGACCTCAGACCAAACTCAGATCTAATCCGAAACACGACTCTTTTAAGCTTTGACAACCCTAGTTTCGTGCTAAGACGACGCCGCTGGTAGCCGAGACGACCGAAAGGCATTCCGTGTCTGAGCCGTTGATGTCTTACTTCTAACAGGCGCTATACCTGGAGTTACGGTTGGACGCTTGCGGTTTCGGGCGGAGAGTTACGTCCTAGACCCTGGCCGGGGGCAGGTTCCAACAGCACGGGCCTATAACTTCAGGCTGTGATCATGATCTAATGAGCTGGCTTGGCCTTCCGTCTTCAAGAGTTCAAAACTTGTCGGGCTCTCTAGAAGGTCTCCAGCGGTCTACACTTTGTTCCATCGCCTGCACCTTCTATGAGGGCACACTCATATTCCACATGGTATGCAGGAAGCCTAGTAACCATTGAACTTATTGTTTGAACCAAGGAGGCCGGTGCGCACAGTTGTTGTGCGTGTACACATGCATATGGATCGAATGGTTTGTTTGAAAACCGGGGTCAGGGATTCGAATTGTTTTGGGGTTGGGGTGCCGGGACTTCGCAGCCTTGGATAATCAAAAGAGGTCCGGTTAAGCCCCATCGGGCACTGTTTGAGCTGCAATGCTTAGGGTTCAGGGTATAGCGCCGGCTTTGGGGTTGCGGGGGTTCAGGGTTTAGGACTGATGGTTTATCAGTTGCGCGGTGTGAGAATTAGATTGGCAGGATGGAGTTTTACTTGGGCTCCGTGGATTCTTGTCAAAACGCGGCAACTGCATCTGGGGAATTCAAGGTGCTGATGCCTAAGGGCTGGAGCCAGTAGAAACCAGGGCTCGCCAGGATCAGGCCCACCACCTTCGTGACAGCCGCTGGCACAATCAGCAGTAGCCCGCCCAGTTTCTTCCACGCCCGTGAGGCAGGTTTCTGGCAGCGAGCAGCCTGCAGCAGCCACTGTCCCTGCCGAATCTTGTCGGAACACTGCCTACGGTGTCCCCCAAATACCATGACGCTCATCAGAGCTCTTTCGTCTTTCGTGCTCGAGGAACACGGGAGGACAATCTAGCCCAGGGTGGCAACTCTCGAACAAAGCAGCAGCAACTCCACGGCTAATGTAGTGGTTCCAACTACACTTGCGCAGGGCAATCGTGGTGATACCTGTGGTATGTTGAGCCTCGCCGAGGCATCCAAGTGGTACAAACAAAGCACACTGTTTTGACTTGAGTGAAATGGGGTTTCGCGTGCGACATATCTGTGAAATGATGCATGCAGCCCCCTGGAATATCCGAAGCTTCAGATTTGCTGGGACACTGGCCGGTGGAAGCTTCTGTTGGTAGTGCGCAGATCTCTAGGCCAGTTAGAGTTGGGCAATATCCAGATCAAAGAAACAAGGGAGCGAAAGGCGAGGAATGGAGGGTGGCAGGGAGTGCCAGCGAGATCAAACAGAGAAATGGCAAGATGGAGAGAGAACGACCAAACAGAAACAAGCCAAGCATAAACGACGGATAGTCACAGCCGCATGCAGTTGCACGACGACTTCGCAGCATCGGGTGGTGTACATCGAGCAGCTACGGCAGGTCTTCCTCAAAGCCAGAAGCACGAAGATAGACAGCGAGGGAGGCCGAGAATAAAAGAGAAAAGCCAAAGAACGAGGTAAGACATGGAGAGATGCTATCTTGTAACGCGCAGCATACACCAGGAAGCATCGGAAAGCTATTGTGCCAATCTCGGGGGTTTTCCGGGAGCATCAATCTAAAGCTCAAGTCTCAGCTTTTGATCTTCACCAAATTACCCCTCAACCCTGCCAAGCAGAGTTCAGGCTTTCCTTGTAGCATTCGAACCCTGCACCTCTAACTCGAAGCCTCCAAGGGCGCTCCATCGTACCTTCACGGGAATCTTGATTTAAACAATCCCCTATTGTATACATGCTATAGTCAACTTCCTTCCTCAGGGCACAGGCGGCAGCGACACGGCGCCGGCACCGGTGACTGCGTACGGGACACGTGGCATCCTTGTTTGTTTGTGGGTGTCGGGTTGGAGGGGATAACATTCTCGTAGTGCAAGCCCGCAGGTGCCTGACTGGCACTGAGACGAAAAATAGAGACACAGAAGTGATGGTAGAAAAGGCTGTGATTCCGGATGATTAGTCCGTCTGGGCTCATACTTAGGGTGCAGGATTTAGGATGTTCGGGATGAGGTTGCTTGCTCTAGCGTCCTAAGTGTAATTTGTTTGTTTTGCTGAGAGCTTTAGGGCTCAGGGTTCAGGGGCACGCCGGACGAAGGGTTCAGCCCAAAGCTTCTTGAGCTGCCGTAGCTATAGCCTCCCTGCTTGCAGGTCCTGGTGCCTTCTGCCGGAATGGTTAACTGCAAGACTGTGAGGCCTTACGAACAGTCTGTCATCACAGTTGAAAGGGCATGGCTACAGCTTGGTGTAGTTCAGGCTTCATTCATGTAGTCACGGCAGCAAACAGTAGCAGATGGGTTGTCGATGAAGAGCTACATATACAACACGCCGGTGCACGAGGGCTCAGGTCTCTAAAGACGCATGTTGGGGATAGAAAAGCTCGGACAGGAAAGTCATACGGTGCTACAGCCTGGACATGCTTGTGAGGCCAAAGCCATGTAACCTCGCGCAACAGCAAGCTGAATGCTGGATCGTACATCTTGCTTGCACCGAGGACAGTTTCCGAGCTCGTCGAGATCACCAACTGCACCCAGCAGGTGCCCTTAGTCTCAGTTTGGGGCTCAGGGCATGCTCCCAAAACCAGACCCAACCCCGAAACTGAAGACCCTGAAATCCCAAACGGTGCCACTTCCATCAAGCAAGAAACAAACCTTTGGACCATTCTCTAGAGTGCTTGATGGTTACACTCCCCGAAACCTTCGAGAAGGAGCACAGAGTGAGCAGCAACGGGGTCAACATCATCTGCGACGACGTCCAACCTTGAAAAGGTTTCACTACCTGCTAAATGCGAAACCCCGAAAGGTTCCCTTAGCCTTAGCTCTGAAGCGACAGAACAAACCCCAAAAGGGCTCAGTGTCCGCAGGCTGCGCTGGAGGCCTTGAAAGCCTGCGAATACGACCTGACGAGGGCCTGCAACAAAATCTTCGCCGCCAGGGAAGCCGCTGGGCAGTGAAGAATTTCGAATTGATGGTTTACGGATTCAGGTCAGAAGTTTCGAGTTTGATTGTAAACGCTTCGCGACAACCGAAGCGAGCGCTTCGGCTGGAGCCGAGGCGATTTGGGAGTGAGGGTTCAGGAGTTTAGGTTGAGGGTTTAGAATGTAAAGGGCTTGAAGGGTTTCAGGGAGAAGAGGCATATAAGGTTCCTCGTTTCTGGCTCTCAGGGTTACCGCCGCGAAGGCTTTGACACGGGGTTCGGAGTATCGGCGCTCACAGGTCCTGCAGGGGTTCTTCTGCGACCTTTTGACTTCGCCGGCTTTGGGTGAATTTGGAGGGGTCTGGGTCTTTAAAATGCTTTTGTGACTATATGGCCTAGGGCTCAAGGTGGAAGGCTGCTGCAAGGAGCCGGGAGCCCAAAAAGCACTTCAGGTGGGTTTTGAGGTTTTGGGTTCATGGCTATTAAGCGTTCTGCAGTTCAGTGCACAGGTTCCAGCAAACAGCAACTTCCATGAAGTTTGATGTGACCAACACTTCGACTAAGGAAGCATCGCAAGTTCTGAGGCAGCGCGGTGTAGCTTCCCCAGCTTTGGGATTCAAGAGAGACCGGGCTTAGATAGTCTTCGCAAGCGCCTTTCATCTTGTTTCTGTAGTTCTTATCGGGCATGTCGCTAGGCAATATGGATTATCTTATGGGTTTGGAGGTCTGGAGCTATGTCAAAGCAGTGGAATTGCATTGGGGTGTCTAGTTCTCATCATTCGCGGGCTTTGGATTGTGGCAGGAGGAATTAGCTAGTCAGACTCTTCGACAACTTTGCGGCGAGCTTTGAGGGTGTTTGGAAGTATTCGTAGTGCTGTGTTAGTTGAGGTTTTTTCGTTTCGCCACATACGACAAACTCGCCTGACCTGCACCCTCATCGCAGAAGCTCTTCCACCTGAATCTGGACAACTTTCAAGTGGATCAGGGTTTACGTGACGTCAAGCAGCTCATTCAAATTCACTAACTTACCCTCAACGAAGCATTGCGAAGACTTCCCAGATGCTAGCCGCCCTATCCGCGAAGCCAGAATTATTCCACAAGTGACTCTACATGTGGGTGATGCTTGAGAACGAAGGTGGATTCTCAAATTCTTCGATTCAACCACACTGTATCAGTCCTTGTGGGAACTTTCATGGCTGCTTTCTGATGAAGGCCTCACTACGGCTCGATTGAGGTCATTATCCCAGGTAGTTTCGTGTTCGGTGTAGCTGCTAATTGTATAATCGCAATGCCTGATCAGAAAGGAAGCTGGCGCCATTGGTTTGCAGTAGGTGGCCGTCTTCATCCGCTTGAAGGTGCACTGGTATATTCGCAGGTTTTTGGTGTGCTCTTCGCGCCACCGGCCTTGAAGAGCCTCTTCTGGACGAATGCTGCCATCCAGCTAATGATCTTCCTGCCTGTCGTTCAGCTCCCGATCCTGCTTACAGGCAAAATGCTGTATGTCGACATTGGCTGGCCTTCAGGACTTGTTGCGATTGGAGCAACCTCGCTTCTGTTGGGTGCTGGGTTATGGGTTCGTAAATGCTTAATTGCTACATGTTTCGTTCTACATGGGGGTCGCATGGCCTTGGGTGCGCTGGTGATGTTTGGCCAGTCATCCAATTTCACCTATCGCTTTCAAGAAGATCTTCCGAGGTACCAGTATGCGAAGCATAAGTGGGTCAGCGTTGAGGGCATGCCCGAAGACACCTGGTGGCTAAAGATGCAGTTGGACTCCCTGGGCCAGGGAATCAGCAACATCATTATTCTTTGCGTGCCTGCCTTCCTGACAGCCAGCAATCCAGACCCACAAATCTCTTGGCTTGAGTGGATGGGCTTCGCCATTTGGGCCGCAGCCTGGGTTTTTGAGAGTTTTGCAGATTTCCAGAAGATGCTGTTCTTGCAGGAGTGCAAGAAGCTCAAGAAGAGCGACGCTACGTTGGGCCTTGCACCATTCGACAAGTACTTCTTGTGGTCTTGGTGCCGCCATCCGAACTACTTCGGCGAGTGGTGTGCCTGGGTAGGTCTCGCGATAACTGCCTTCCCATCACTCCTGAATGAGAATGTTGTCCCAGAACAGCGTGCTTTTCTCTTTCGCATCTATGTGGTCGGCTTGATCATGCTGCCGCGAGTGCTATACGATTGCTTGGTGCACTGGACCGGCGCCGGCCCCGCCGAGCATTTCAGCTCCAAGAAGAGGGCGAGCTACCGAGAATATCAGGAGAAGGTACGTTGCTTTTTCCCTTTGTCCCTGCCAGGCATAGATGACCACATGCAGGCAGGATGGCCTACCTTCGAGCCAGCCTGACTGCATCACAGACCCGGGGAGCGAAAATGACAGTCTCGATGGGTTCTTGGGTAGGTCGGGTAACGAGCCGAACTCCGAATGGTGGAGGCAGCCCTGAGACCTGTGGGTTACCGTCTCATAATATGAAAATCGACGAGTACCCTGTTACCCCTACATCTCGCGTGGGAGATGGGTCGGTAAGAGTTTGAAACTGCAGTTCAGCGGGACGGGTTATCTTCCAGCCGCAAGGGCGCCCTCCATAAAAGGGCCAAATCTAGGCTGAACCCAAGAACACAGGAGTCCTTGCTCCCTAAGCCCTATATAGACTCTAAACTATAAGCCCCATAAGAACCAAAAAATCAACTAGAGAGGAGACCGTCTCGGACCCAGGCTCCAGCACAGGCGCCGGTCGCAACCTTCGTCCCAGCGATGGAGCCTTGAGAGAAGTGGAACTAGTATTAAGACCGAATAGTCATGCCATGATAATGATGATGATGATAATAATACTCAGAGTTCAGATGCCACCGAGAGTGGCCTTTAGCAGATCCTGGTCTTGGGTTGCTTTTCACGGGTCTCTTGGCGAAGCTGCCAGTGGGCCAAGGGCGTTTGCGATTTGGAGTTTGAAGTTTCAGGGTTTGGGCCGAGATGTAGTGCCTTGGGGTCTCAAGTTGTACGTGGATTCGGGGGTTATGAGATTAGCGGTTTAGCGTTTGTGCGCTTAGGGTTTAGCATTTGTGGGTTTGTGAGGGCGTGAAGATAAGCAACTGCCTTTTCTTAGCTTGGTCTGAGTCATAACACCGCAACACTTGTCTCTGAAAATCCTTGGTTTTGCACGCGCCGCAACAGTCCTTGCTGGGGGCTCTGGGTTTACAGAGGGTCTTTGGGTTTCAGGACCCCCTTTGGACCAGGGTCAACCTGTGCAGTCGGAACCCTTAATCACCAGGACATAGAAAGTTTTGTGGCCCGTACACTACGGCGCTAAACCACTGACCTTTGTTGAGGGTATAGCGGCCTCAATGTTACGATCCCCATGGCTGCCTTTTGGGCTCTACAGTGTCCGACAGAACATTGGCATTAGCTTCCTTCTCTGCGCTTTAGGGTTTAAAAATTTCGGGCGAAGTTTAGACTTAGGGCCAAGTCTAGTGTTAGGGTTTAGGGCTTTACGGTTTGAGGCGAAGCGCGTAGAGCACTCTTGATCTGAATTCGCTTCGGGGTTAGCGTGTAGGCAGCCTACACCTTGATGGCGAAACGGCCTTGAGCTGGTAGCTCTGAGATGCGAGCCAAAGGGCTGCCGTCGGCCTCCTTCTTTGCGTCGTTTGGCTTTCGGGTTCAAGGCCCACCTGAAATCTACGCCTACAGAGTCTTAACATCCCGACATACCTTGGCGTGAGACAGCGTGGTTTCAGAGTGGAGCGGGACGGCAGGGCCGACAGTCCTACGCCCGAAACCCTCTGACATGCTTCAAACAGCATTCCCTGCATGTTAGACTTGTTGCCACATTGGGAGATGGCGACGAGAATTACCTTGCACAACTGGGGTCGTCAGTGACTTTGTTTGCCTCGACTGCAACACAAGAGCTCACGTGAAGGTCGGGATGTGGAATCACACGACCCACCACTACCACAAGGGCACGATTGACTGAATAGACTGTGTTCAATCACTTTTCGAAATCTGGGTCTGTTACCCAAACCCCCGATATTGAAATAGAAAGCCCTCGTGCCGTCCCTACACAAGCCAAACGATTGCACGGAACACCTTCAAAGCGAATTAAATTGTGAAAGATGTTATAGTTGCCACGAAGCTGCGAGAATCCCTCACAGAAGCCCAACACCCTTCGCCTGTCACCTGAGGGCACTGGTGGACTGCCCAACCTTGCCGGCACCGGCCTGGTACTCAGGGGTGAAACCATCATGACCTGCATCTTCGAACGGTAGGGTTAGTGGCTTGGATACCATCATGGTCATCGCAACGACCCATCGCAACATTGGCACCATTGTCGTATTCTTGATTGCCATCATCGTCATCGCACGTGCGTGTTCGTCTTCATCGTCATGTTTAGTGACGGTGTGGTCGTGGCATGCTCAGCAAACTGTGTAGTTGTCTTCATCACCTTCATCGTCATCAACACGAGCAGGAGTTTCCGATGTCCCAGCATATCCCATCATCGCCACTCCTCCTGTCAGAATCACTGGAATGCGCCGGCGAACAGACACCGCCTCGAGAGAACGAACCCTCTGCCCATGATGGCCTCCATGCTGGCAGTGCATCCAGTTTGAGAGCATCCATGGCAAGCCCATGACGACGTCCATATTCAGCATCTATGCCGCCAAATTACGCACTTTTTCGAGCAATTATGGCCAGCCCATGGTGATGTTCATCCCGCGTTGGCGGCCAATTTCGCAACCCGACATGGCACAGACACATAGCATGGTACACACTACGGGGTTGTGATCTAGCACTCGAGGTAACGAGAATCGGTTGCCGTGTGTGGGTGTGTGTGCCCGCGGTCTGCGCGGAAAAACGCTCCGCAGGATGCGGCTCCCGCATGTGGCACTTACTTTGGCCCAAATCCTTTTGTTTGCACAGGAGCCGTCCGGCGCTGTTCCCTGGAAAGCCAGATCCATTGTAAGTAAATTCCAACAGGTTGGTCACCTTTTGGCCTCGAAATCTCCCAATGCCGCCGATGCTTGAGAAATCATTTTGGCCGTCCTCCTGAATCCCGGCCTGGTTGGCGGGAGGCTGAAACTGAAGCGGTGGGCCTTCAAAGCCTGGCGAACTGTGCTGCGGATGCTGCTGTGACGGGGTGTGCCTTCCAAGCCCAGCAGAGTCTGTGGCCCGGCGGCCTGAAGATCTGATGATGTTTGGGGTGGGCCCCCAAAACTCGGTGCCTGCTGCTGCGGGGCCTGATCGGCAGCCTGAAACTGAAGCGGTGGGCCTTCAAAGCCTGGTTTCCGGCGGCCTGAAATTTTGCTGGTGCTTGAGGCCTGCCTTCCAAGCCCGGAGGAATCTGCTGCGAAGGTTGGCCGGTTGGTTGGGGCGTGTGTTGACAGTGCTGATTTCCCTGTATCTCTGGCGGCAGCATGCCTGGTATCGGAATTTGCGATGTCACCAGGTGCTGTGGCATGACTTGAAGCGGAGGCAGCATTGTTGGAAAGTTGCCAGCCGATGATTAGGTGGAAAGGGAAGTCCGCCGCTTGGCGGGAAGCTATTGGGCCGTGGTGTCCTGGTGGTCTCTTGGTGATCTGTGGGATCCTGGAGGACGCCTCGTGGTCTCCTGCAGTCTTCTGGTGGTCTTTGGCAGACCGCAGGGGTCTCCTCCATTGGTCTCTAGGTGGTGTCCTGGTCCTGGTGGTAGTTTTTGTCTTGTCATTGTCTTCGTGCTGCTCTGTCATGATCACTGTTTGGGGATCTACGCTGGCATCCTGTAAAGACGCCTCTTGGAAATCATACCCGCAGTTTGGCCTGCTCTGCTCGCCAACCTGCAAACTTAAAGCTAGTACGCAGCAGAAAGCAACCTCCGGTGTAGCATAGTTTTCAGGTTGCCAGGTCCTGCCAGGTTTCAAAAAGTGTGGCCCAGGTGTAACAGCTCCTCTTCTAGCACCGACGACGGCGACGGCCCTAGGCGGCACCCGTTTTTGCTAGAGTGACTCCTTGTAGCAGCATGCTGGTACCATCCATGCAGCTCTGGTTTCACGTGACTACATAGTAGCCAAGGAGGTAGACGTTTTTAATAACACTACGGGAATCCATATAATCACATATAGCCCCTGCATAGTCCAGGGAGGGTTGACCTGGAGCTCCCCAAGGAAACGGTGAAAGTAGAACTAAACCATGCAACTTACAACATTCCATACGGAGAACCTATACGTCCGTCGGGCTTGAGTTCAGGAGTTGTTTTGCCGAGGGGATTGAATGTTTATGATGTGACGGTATTTGGGTGGCATGATGTGGTTGTGATGTTGATGTGAGGTTGTCTCTCGGGTTGTCGCGAGGTTGCATGTCATAGTTTCTCGTGAGGTTGTCTCTTTTTATACCTATAGTTCAACATCTTGTAACGCACAGGTCAGGGCTAGCGAGAGCCGCTGTGCATCACCATGTGGTGCCGTGACGATTCGTGCGCGGATTTGCCGAGCAATGTGGTGCCGCCGTGCCGTGACGATTCGTGCTCCGCTTTGCCGACCGTCTCGGTGACGCCGGCTGTACGCATCCTCCGGGCAGTGCGAGCCAAATCACTGTAAATTCCAATATATACATGCGTCTCTGCGTCCGGTAAGCGTGATCCATGTTAATTCCAATAGAGTGGCCTCACTTTGTTCTCGAAATCAGTGCATTGTTTTCGCAGTTTTCTTAATTCACGCCTGGATGGGTACATGAACGGAACGGACGGGTGGATGAATGGCAAGATGGATCGACGGACGGATGGACAAATCGAGGGAGGGAGGGAGGGAGGG